GAACAATAGCTCAAAATTATACGATGGATGAACTTGTTTTGAAATCCTTTATATCAAATACAGAAACATACTATAACCCCAAACTAAATCTAAGTCTGAGTTATGTTTGTAATCAAAGAAAGACGTACGATTAACCGTTATATTTACAACCAAAAAAAAAAAAAAAAATTATAACCCATCAAAGAGATTATGGAGTTTAAATCATGCAATAAAGAATCATCCCTCGATGATTCAATTAGAAATTTTTAAGAATTTCTAAAATTTAATCCAACAAAAATTACATTGTATGACAATAAACCCTAATTTACCAATTAATTAGTATAACCATTTAAAATCAAATAAATTTCATGTGATTCAAATTCATTTAAAATTTGGTCAATAAATCTTACAATTTTCTTTCAAAAAAAAATTGAGGTATTTATATCAAATTGAATTTTTTTTCTCTATTATTATTATTTCATTGTAACAAAGCATCTAAAAAAAAAGTAAACAGAATAGAGCTATTTCAGATCAAATCTCAACAACACAAATCAAAAGCCATACTGTTTCAACAATGTTTGGTTGCCTAGAATATAATCTAGAATCCCATGTTTAAGTTTTCTTGGTTGTTTAAAGAAACGAGGATTTATGAGACATAAATAAATCTCCAAATTCTTTGCCTTTCTTATATTTCCTCTTCGACAAAACAGAGTACATAAAAACAGAGCATATACAAACAGAGCCTCTATGAAGAAATTGAATGGATCAAAATAAGAAAGAGAGACTCACATTAGAGGCAGAGAAGTGAGCCATTTTTGATAAAGTTTTGAGTGAGAAGATGAAACAGCGTTTGTTGTTAGCTTGCTGGAGCGCTATTTATATGTAATTAGGTAAAGGGTAGTTTTGTCATAAGTGATGAAGGGTAAGAAGGTAAAATCCAGTTAGAATATTGGATAAATATCGATATATTGGTTCAGGTAATTATCATGGGAGAAGAGGTAGCCGATATACCTGCAATAGTGGAAAGGATATCTGCTTTGCCAGAGCCAATTTTACGGCACATCCTGTCATTCCTTTCATTCAAACAAGTTTCTTAAACTAGTATTGTGTCCACAACATGGGAAAAATCCTGGCATACATTCCTGGTTTTGGAGTTTGAACTTACTTCAATGTGTGGAGAAAACACGTATGAACCGGCGCACAATGAGAATAAGAAATGGATTGTTCATCCACCAAAGAGTTGAATATGCTATAGGATGTCATGTCAAAGAGTTGGAATATGATATGCCCTCTTGTTTCTGCTGACTTGCAGTACAGTTTGCCTCAAATGGTTTTATGTGCTGAATCAGTAGTTGAGAATATACTTGCTGGATGTCCTTTGATAAAGGATCTATGTTTCCAGTATTGTTAAGCTATCGAACTGTGTAACACTGAGGAACTTGAGTGATCTGAGATGGAAGAAGCATTGGGTGTCCATTCAGTTTTTACTGATGTGTGGTGTGCCATACCATGGGAGATGAAGATATCTATGTGTAAGGATATTTATATCTTTAGATTTCTGTACAGCTCCTATAATGGATAAGTGGCTCTGCAACCGAATGTTTTCAATGAGGATTTGGTTGAAGTCGAGTCTGAGACTCCTAATTTGAGTAGTATATTCAACTATAGCGGTGATATAATCTCATTCTCTTTCGGTGGTTCTACTCTGTTCGAGGCTAGCCTTTGTTTCTTCGCAAAGAATATCGACACTCAGTGGTCTAATTCTCTTCGTTTAATGTATCTTGTCAAGAATGTGACCTTTCCGGAGGAATTGAGGCAAACCATATCACCTCTATTTTGCGGTGTAAAGCATTTCAAATTTATAATATATAGACCACCTCCAAGTAGGGGTGTTCAAAAAAATACAAAAACCGAACCGAACCGAAAAACTGGTTCGGTTACGGTTCGAAAAATTCAAAAAACCAAATTTGCGGTTCGGTTACCGGTTCGGGAAAAAATAAAAAAGGGTTAACCGAAACCGGTTTTTTGAACCGGTTTTACAATATATATATATTAAATAAAAATAAATATTATATATTAAATAAAAAATAATAATATTATATATTATATATTAAATAAAAAATAATAATATTTTGAATGTATTGTTAGTAGTGGTCAATGGATATGTATGAATGTCTAATTTTTATTTGGATATGTATTATTTATATTTACAATTTAATTTAGGAAAAACTAAAAAAAATAAGTTTTATAAAAAAAAGGGAAAACCGGTTTTCCCTCCAAACCGGTTTGGTTTCGGTTCGGGAATTTTTCCGAACCGAAAAACCAGTTCGGTTCATTTGAACACCCCTACCTCCAAGTGTTGCAATAAAAAATACACTGGATGGCTTGGTCTGATTTCGTCGCATGCGAAAACTGTGTCAACCTCTGGATAACCCACCCAAACGACTAAAGTCTTGCCATCCTACTACAAGGCTAATGGTTTAGTTTGTTATTTTAACATTCTTTTTTCTATGTTTATTCTTTCTGGTTAAACAAGGTTTTCTTAAATGGTAATCCTTTAGAAAGGAAAACATTGCCCCTGAACACAAAACTTTTTGGTCCTTTGCGCCCATGGAATGGACATAGCTGCTTGTTTCAAAACATATAAGCTTTTTCATTAATGAATATTGACGGATTTGCTCTAGTTCTACAAGAGTAACTAAATATTGGGGAAACTGTTTGAAGAGTTAAAAACACATATGTAATCAATGACAATTGAGCGGGGGTTAAGTAGGGACGGAGCCAGGATTCTATTTTAGTGGGGCCACAAGAAAATTAAAATATATTTTAGATTTGAGAAAAATAAATTAATGGTGGTGATAATGTTGGGATTTTAGGCTACTTTGGTAAATAAAATAAAGGTAGTGATAACACATAGTAGAAGGGTACAAATATAAAAATTTTCCAAGGTCTATGGGGGCATGAGCCCCCACTCACACCGTAGTGGCCCCATCGTTGAGGTTAATTGCAATAATCCTTAAAACAATTGTTATAAGCGTTGTTTTTGACTTTTTAACCCACTTGGATAACGTTTTAGTGATACTTTTTGTTAATTAAAATGAATTGTGGTGCTGTATTCATAGTAACTCTGTAACAGTGTAACACAACACAACCTTACCTCTGTGTTTTAAAAATTGAACCCGACCGACCAGTCTAACTGGGACCCGACAGCTTCTCCGATCCTTATCGTGCTATTGGTTTGCACTTTAAAATATTCATATTTTAAAGTGCAAACCAATAGCACGATATCTGCATAAAATGTACACCATATAGCAAATGGGAAAATGCTCATTTGACATCTTTAGGGTTTTTTAATTATATTGTCTTATTTTGTTTATTGCTTCTTGCATATCCATACGTTGTCATATAACAAAAAAGGATTACATATTTTTCTATTTCTGCACTTGGAGGCTCATTCTTTTTGTAAATTCAATTATGAAATTGACTGAATTACAATTGGAAGACATCCTTAAGAAATTCCCTCATGAAGCTCAGGATTTAAAGTATGCTAATAGTATAAAAACTAGCTTACACATCTCAACTAATCCTTCGAGACCCTGAAACTATCGGCCAAATAAAAACTCTAGTGGTTACCTACATTAACACAGGGATGAATTCAGAACCTCGTAAATAATATGCTTCAAGAGTCCCTATCAAACCATTTTGATATCTCTCATCTACAGTTTTTTTTTTTTTTTTCCTGTGTATGTTGTTGTAACACAATTAACCAATAATAAAGTTAAAGTGAACTCGGTTCTTGGCTTCTCACTATGTCGCGTTTGTATTGCAGCAAGATCTTATTTGCGATTAAGTGACGTTACATGCTTTAAAAGGGGAAAAAAAATTCAAAGAGCTAATTTATTGCCAAGTTGAGTTTTTGTACAATGAGATGAATGACAATAAGAGGGAGATACATTTAGAGCAAAATATTTTATATGTGATGGCAAAACCTAAGGGCTGTAAAAAGAAGGGCCACACTNGAGTTAAAAACACATATGTAATCAATGACAATTGAGCGGGGGTTAAGTAGGGACGGAGCCAGGATTTTATTTCAGTGGGGCCACAAGAAAATTAAAATATATTTTAGATTTGAGAAAAATAAATTAATGGTGGTGATAATGTTGGGATTTTAGGCTACTTTGGTAAATAAAATAAAGGTAGCGATAACACATAATAGTAGAAGGGTACAAATATAAAATTTTTCCAAGGTCTATGGGGGCATGAGCCCCCACTCACCCCGTAGTGGCCCCATCCTTGAGGTTAATTGCAATAATCCTTAAAACAATTGTTATAAGCGGTGTTTTTTACTTTTTAACCCACTTGGATAACGTTTTAGTGATACTTTTTGTTAATTAAAATGAATTGTGGTGCTGTATTCCTAGTAACTCTGTAACACAACGCAACCTTACCTCTCTGTTTTAAAAACTAGACCCGGCCGGCCAATTTGACTGGGACCGTATTGGTTTGCACTTTAAAATACATATTTTAAAGTGCAAACCAATAGCACGATATCTGCATAAAATGTACACCATATAGCAAATGGGAAAATGCTCATATTCTTTTTGTAAATTCATTTATGAAATTGACTGAATTACAATTGGAAGACATCCTTAAGAAATTCCCTCGTGAAGCTCAGGATTTAAAGTATGCTAATAGTATAAAAACTAGTTTACGTGCATCTCAACTAATCCTTCAAGACCTTGAAACTATCGGTCAAATAAAAACTCTAGTGGTTACCTACATTAACACAGGGATGAATTCAGAACCTCGTAAATAATATGCTTCAAGAGTCCCTATCAAGCCATTTTGATATCTCTCATCTACAGTTTTTTTTTTCCTGTGTATGTTGTTGTAACACAATTAACCAATAATAAAGTTAAAGTGAACTCGGTTCTTGGCTTCTCACTATGTCGCGTTTGTATTGCAGCAAGATCTTATTTGCGATTAAGTGACGTTGCATGCTTTAAAAGGGGAAAAAAAATTCAAAGAGCTAATTTATTGCCAAGTTGAGTTTTTGTACAATGAGATGAATGACAATAAGAGGGAGATACATTTAGAGCAAAATATTTTATATGTGATGGCAAAACCTAAGGGCTGTAAAAAGAAGGGCCACACTTGCATTTCCATCCCTCAGGTTCATAATTTGCATACTGAATGCCATAATGGCTCTTCTTGTGCTTGCTGGTGGTGGGAACTTGAATGGCCTCACATGGAATGCACCCATAACACTTGTGCACACAGCTTGGTGGAGTTGACCCTATTTTGGAATACGCTTCTTCATTTATGTTCTTGGTACCCTTCGAATTAAAGAGTTGAATCAGTAAGTATTTATGGTGTTAGCTGCTTGTAATTAATGACACAAGTGGAGAGATGAAGAGAGGGAGATGTAAAATAATAAACCTGTTTTGAGTTCATCTTTGTGTCTGAGTTGAGTGGATTCTGGCCTGTGATATTTGATCAAGCATTCAAGTAAGAAATTGAAAATTTTCTTTTCATGAAGAAGTTTCAAGTTAAAGCCAAACAAAAAAGCCCTTTTGGAGAAGAGGACAAAGGTTGTGATCATTGTGGAGAAAGAGTAAATATGGACGCTTCACTTGACAACAAAACCATGAAAAAGTGTTGCAGTTTTGGGTTAAAATAAGCTAACCTGGTTGATAAGCAGCTGGAGGAAGAGCATCATTAGGAGCAAAAGGCCTGCTGGCAGCAGACACCCAACTCAACATTTGAAAAGTTACAAATAGAAAACAACACAATCTTCCCTTCATTTCTTCAAAACTTCAAGTGATGATGATGATGATGATGATGATGATGATGGTGGTGGTGGTGGTGCTAGTGGTAATTTAGCTAATGATGATGGCAGATAGAAGGAGAGGAGAGTGAGAGAACTTTGAAGTTGAAGCACACACAGAAACACTCTCTTGGGTAGTTATATAATGCCATGCATGATTGCTCAAATATAAGAAGTAAAAAATGAAAACAAAGCTACCAATCAAACTCCCATTTCCCAAAAAGCTAGCCCAGAACCTCTAAAACTTTCTTGGATTTCTCTCTTTTCTTACATTAGCATAGAGGTGGTGGTTGCTTCACAAGCAAAGAAATTCAGGTTTTCTTGTCAAATGGATGAAACCACCAAATCACCTTATGGCTTATCTGTTTCTCCTCTGTACACAAGTCACCTTCTCTTCTCGGCTCTTTCTCTCTCTTTCTCAAATCAATGTAATATCCTACTCTATGGGGTGGTCCCTTTTTGGGGTCTGCAAAACTTGCAACACCACTAATATCAGAAGAAATCTTTGCCTAGACTGCAGTGCATCTTTTTTTTACTCTGCTAGCTTCATTGCTATAAAAGGAAGAAAAACTCTGTAGCAGACTTTCAATTTATTTTATTCAAGCAGGAAAAGCATCCATATCTGATACATTCAGCTCTGCAGAAGGACTTAATGAGTTAGTTAATTAATTAATTATGCTAGGTGAGTCAACTTCTGCAGGTTGGTAAGTGGGGAACACCCTAAGGCTTGGTTATCAAATCTCATCCATTCATTTGAAAATCAACCAAGATCGACAATTAAGAAACTTGGTGGTCCAGACTGTGCATGCTCAATGACTAGTCTCTCCTTTTTTATTATCAGGTTGCACCATAAACTGGCTGCAGATTTAAAGAATGAAGAAGCTAAGAGAATTGTTCAATTACTTAGGTGTGAGCTAAGAAGGTGAAGCATAGAGGCAAAGGTTGAAATGAGGAAATTTGATGGAACCATTCAGTTAGTCTCTCTCTAGCTGGCAAATTTAGGAGCTTTGGTGACATAGGGATGTCAAATTTGAAAAAATACTGGCTTTTGAATTTGTTTCTGCAAATTTTTCATTGATAATTGTGCCTGAGTAGAGTGATTTGATCATTCAATGTGCTGTTGCTGTACTGTGATACGATACCTCAGTCAGTCATTTCTTGTAGCTAAAAAGAGAGTGAGAGTAAGCACAACTTCATTTCTTGGTTATTACAGGAGTGTCGGACAAAAGAGATCATGCTCTTTGAGCATTTTGGCTTATTGAAAGACACTCTTCATCCAAGCACCATTTTGTCCATGCAAATTTCACAATATTAGCTACACGACAGCAATCCAAAACATAAATTCAGCATGGAAAACAAAAACATGTCCTCTACTTTTAGTTGATGGGTAATAACTTTTAGTATTTGAGTTCTAAACATGAACTTGCTAAGGACTCAAACTTACACTGATGCTCTAGGATTTCCTCTTTTTCCTTGTCAATGAATGCTAAAGCAAGTCAAAAAGTTCAAATGAGCCTCACTGCATTCGGATTCAATGAAAGAATTTCACACCAATTAGTCCTTGGAAAAAATTCGTATCCGAAGTTGGATCCAAAATTTTTAAAAAAAAAAAGGAAGATATATATCATATTTGCTTTCTAAGAGGCAAAAATGGTGAGCCACATCATTTAAGATATCAAAATTCATGCGTCGTATTGCTCAAAAATTAAATCTTACGCTTACGTCAAGATGCCGATACGCTTCTTATAAACCAATATCCGCAGCTTTGAACATTTTAACATCAACAAGTGACTAGGGATATATATGCATCAATGCCAAAATTCTTGATTAAAATTTGACATTAAATTTTAGTCTCATTGACAGAAATTACATATATTCACTATGATTGGCACTTGGCAGGGTTCCCCTTCCGCTATTTTACAATCAGAGGACCCGATAAGAGTAAAGGAAATCTGAAGGAATCAAAGCTAATGCAATGGCTTTAAACATGATTTTGAAACATCTCATGACAAAATATTTATTTGCATCATGTATGCAAGTAAATAAACAAAGCCAATATCAAGCAACCTACAAGATTGATTACATCTGAGATTTTAATCTTGACATATCAAGGAAATAAACGACAATCTTAATGAACTACATAACATTTATCTTTCAAGATTCTATCCAATAAGGAAAGTAGCACACGTAAACAAAGAGAAACATACAGTAAATTCTCAGAGAGAACAATTGAAACATAACCTAGAATACATTCTCTTTCATCAAATCAGAACATTTGCATATTTGAAGCATCATCATGAATAAAGCGACCACATAATCCATGACTTACTTTGAAGAAGACTTGTAACTACTAGATTCTTTCTTAGGACGAACTGCTTGGACAAGGGCCTGAATCTCTTCCTTGAATCTTTGAAACACGCCTGGAGCTTTCACTTCATCAACTGGAGTGCTCTCATCAATGTCATCACTAGTCCCATGTGTTTCCTTGGTGTGGCGTGGCGATTTATCATGGTGACCTATAGCTTCAATCTCTTCCTTAGCTCTTTCCAATATGTTTGGTGATTTCACATCTTTTTCTTTCACATATACAAAACAAAAAAAAACTTATAGTCTGTCTCATCACCTACAAAATTTTGCTTCAATGACCATAAATTACTATCAACATTCTTACAATTACAAGACTCAATTTCATGGATCAAAAGATGAGCTTTTTCACTTATGCCTGTGCTAAAGATTGTATTTTTCACTATCCAGACAAAAACACAAAAGAAAATGAAGCAGCATAAACTGAAAACTACACACTAAACAGGTTTGGTATCTTAATGAAGATCACAACAAAAAATTGTATATAATCTACAACTACAAGACTCAATTTCATTGATCAAAAGATGAGATTTTTCACTATTGTCTATACTAAAAATAGCATTTTTCAATATCTAACCAAAATTACAAAGCAAATGAATCAGCATAATATGAAAAATACCCACTAAACAAGATTTTATGAATGAAGATTATAGTACAACAACTAAAAAGAATCAATCTTTCCAGAGTCAGATGATCGATGTCTTAAAAGGAGCTAACTTTAGAGATTAAAACGAAACAAGAAGTGCAGGGCATATAGAAAACAAACCATACCAGATGGAGTGTGTGATGCGTCTGGTTTTGATTCTGCCATTGAAGTTTCTTCAAGAAAAATTTGTGGGTTTGATTCATGAATCATGATTGGGGTTTCATGAAGGAGGAGGAGGTGCCAAAGTGGGCCTAGTGAGGACGCCCAAATTTGGACTTGTTATTGGGCTGGTGATGTTCTGATTGAGCCCATTCTATTCTGGGCTGAGGCCCATCAAAGAGTTGGACTTGAAAATGTTTGGATGAATAATGGAAACAGAAAGTGTAATACTACACAAATTTTTTGTCCAAGTAATGTGTCATCTAAACTGTTACCATATAAAATTGACAAATTATTTGGGATGAATTTTTTAGAATAATATTTTGGAAGTGAAAAGTCTTAGTTAAAACAGATGTATCATGTCGTCCATATACTTCTTTAATGACATCTCACTCTTTATAAGTTCATTTTTTTCTTTTTTTATGTCTGTTTTGTCTAACTAAGAAGATATTTTTTAGATAGAACAGATGTACCACATCACATGTATACTTCTTCAATAACATCTTGCTACCTATACATTCATTTTCTCTCATCCACCAAACTGTTGTTACTAATTTTGAAATAAATGTGTACATAATATACTATTATTAGAGAGATATGAAGATAACGTGGTATGTTTGCTCTACCAAAACTTTATCTAGAATGTTGTTCACATGTTTACTAAAATGAATACAAACTTTATTTCATATTTTTGTAATTAAACCATTGAATATATAGGGATGCCAACTTTTTAATTAGTCAAATCTTAAGAGAGTTTGTCTGTTTAAATTAGACAAAATGGAAAATCATATGTCTCGTTTACATGTGTAAAATCTTGGTCGGTTCTAATAAATATTTAATTTAGCATATTTTAAAATTGTTCAATTACTTATAAATTTTTAGGTAATTGAACAATTTTAAAATATGGACAAAATTGGCCAATCCTTTTACCCTTTAATCTATGCCTTTTAATTAATCTAATTGGATAAGGCCCCTAATGAATATGAAAAATAATACTATAATAAATAATTTGTAATTTGTAATATTATACATTTATATGTTGCATGCTCTTCTAGAGTGATGAGATAATGGGAATGGAATTCCATATGAATACAACTTTAATCTCTTGACTAATTTTAGCCAATTAATTGACTTAAATTGTGATTCTTAGGTCAGAAAAAAGTCAATACTATAATACAATTTTTGATATACTCTTTCTGTGCTACAAAAAGAAGCTGGAATTACACAATTTAGTGTTCAAACTAGGGTGACTAGATAGGGATATCAACTTTTTAATTAGTCAAATCTTAGGAGAGTTTGTCTGTTTAAATTAGACAAAATGGAAAATTAGGGCTTCGTTTGGTTGGATTTTGAAAATACTATTTTTAGTATTCCCAAAAAAGTTAAACAGTAAAATACCTAAAAACTCACAATATTATTTAACTTTATTCAATATTTTTTAAACCCCCTAAATTTGTTAATTCAATTAAATACCCCTAAACATTTTTAATATTTTTGTTACGGCGACTCCGGCTACCCTCCGGCGGTGGTGGCCGGCTGTCCGTATTTGAGGGTGGATTGGGGGTGTTTTTGTTAACTTTTAATGTTTTATTATAAGGGGTGTTTTGTAAAAAAACAAACATAGGGGGTATTTTACAATTTGTAAATCCTCCATCGTAATACCCGCCCAATTCAACTTTTTTTTTAACTTTTTTCAAAAAACTTTTCCCAAAAACACAAAATTGTGAACCAAACGGAGCCTAGATGTCTCGTTTACATGTGTAAAATCTTGGTCGGTTCTACTAAATATTTAATTTAGCATATTTTAAAATAAAGTTTTCAAAAAAGTTAAAAAAGAAAAGGAAAAGTAGCTAATTTCTAAAATGAACACAAACTTTATTTCATTTTTGTTGAATAGTAGCTAGGCAAACACATCAAGCAACTAAAATTTCTCTCAAATGCATGTACAGAAATGGTCTTATGGAAATTTGATGAAAGATAGTTTGTTGGTTTCTTGACTCTGCGATGCTCAATTAAAAAAAAAAAATTACATTTTTTTTTTTTTGGATAAGATTTAAGACTATTGAAAAAAAAAAAAAGTACATTAAGCTTATATTAACTTAATTCCTTTGTTATATCTGGTTTACTAAAAGATTAAAAAAGGGGGATTTTTCTTTTTGTTCACTGAAGGTGTCTGAGCTAGCTTGTATGTACCTCAATTAATCATTCGAGGCTTTGAAACTACCGATCGAATAAAAACCCTAATGGTCACCTTTATTAGTGTCTGAATGACTCAAACTCGGGAGCTCATGAATTCATTTTGTTTTTTTACCATCAGGTCACTTAGTAATGATTAAAACGAAGTTTTTCTTGTTCGGTATAGATTGTTATCATGCAACACAATTTCAAATTTATCATTATCTATTTTCTTTTCATTGAGTAACATCTTCTTGTCCTTTTCATTATGAATTTTTTCTTGTTATTATTATAAAGAGAAGTTAATCTAATCTCTAATTATATATATAGAAACTTTCTCATTCCTGTCTATAGCAATTATAAATATAAAAAATACAAAATTTTACAATTTTCATGAGAAGAATTTGAGTGAAATTTTATCTTTTGACGACGTCGACATTAGTTAGTAACAAATTAACAATTCTTGAAATTGTATATTCCTAAGTTTAAGTAGTAAATAGAAAAGAAAGAAAAATAGATAATTATGAAACTGTGATCGATTTCCCAAATTAAAAACACTTGTATCACATTGGTCCAAGAACATTTATAATTCTCTTTCAGTGGACGGTGTTCCAAATCTAAATAAAATAAATTGTTAAGTCAAAGAGAACTTTATATAATGTGTAGCATATGGCCCCATAAAATCGTTATCTTGGTTGGAAATTGCCTATTATAAGGAAACATTAATTGTCGTGATAAATGTGTCCACAAAAAGCTTTGAAATATTATGTACAAACTATACCTTATAGTTTCTTTATCTTTCAGTTCTTGGGGTCCAAGCTAGATAAGACAAATATATTGTCTTATCTAGCTTATCAATTAATTATAAATGCTACAATTTATTAATAAAGTAATGGACAAAATTGGCCAATCCTTTTACCCTTTAATCTATGCTTTTTAATTAATCTAATTGATAAGGTCCCCAATGAGTATGAAAAAGAAAAAATACTATAATATATTATTGTAATTTAATATATTTATAATTATATGTTCCATGCTCTTCTACATAGATGAGACAATGGAAATGGAATTTCATATGAATACAACTTTAATATCTTGACTAATTATAGCCAATTAATTGACTTGAATTATAGTTCTTGGGTAGAAAGAAGGCATATTATATAGTAATTGATATGCAATCTCTAATAAACTTTTTCAAAATACATGTTTTCTGATGTACTCTTTCTGTGCTACAAAAGCAAGCTGGAATTACACAATTTAGTGTTCAAACTAGGGTTCATTTTTGTTGAATAGTTAGGCAAACACATCAAGCAACTAAATTTTTTTGGGTGATTGATAATTTTATAAAGAATAAAGAATTACATCTAAAAGCAAGGGACGACGCTTACAAAAGAGCAAAAAGTACCCAGGATGTACAACCCTTTACACACCCACCATTCCACGAACACCCCAAGAACAACCAAAAAAATAGCCAAGGATGACTATACAAAAGGCCCTTAGAGTACTGGCTGTGTAAAGAAACAATAGCCACAGCCAAAAACAGCACAGGAAATCACCGGACACAGAAGATGCAAGCCACCAAAACGAAGCCAGAACCAGAATCCTCACAGCCACAAACCAGCAACTAAAATTTCTTCGAATGCATGGAAACATTGAAATATTAAGATATTGGTGAAAGAGAGTTCGTTCGTTTCTCAAAAAAATTACTTTTTTATTTTTTGACAAGATTTAAGACTATTGAAGAAAAATAAGTACATTACGGTTATATTGACTTAATTTCTCTGTTATAGATGGTTTACTAAAAGATAAAAAAAAAAATTGAGTTTCTCTTATTCGTAATAGATTGTTATCATGAAAAACAATTTCAAATTTATCATTATCTATTTTTTTTATCCAATAACATCTTATTCGTAATAGATTATTTTCTAGTTAGGGAAGTTAATTCAACCTCTAATTATATACATTGAAACATTCTCATTCTTGTTTATAGCGGTTATCAATACAAAATTTTATAATTTTCATAAGAAGAACTTGATTGATTTTTTGTCCTTTAATACTTCCTGACGTCGACATCAGTTAGTAATAGTTCTTGAAAGTGTATATTCCAATCGATTCCCCAAATTAGGAACACTTGTATCACATTGATCCAAGAACATTTATAATTCTCTTTCAATGGACGGTGTTCCAAATGTCAATAAAATCAATCGTAAGTCAAAGAGAAATTTATATTATGTGATATCATATGGCCCCATAAAATCATAATCTTGATTGAAAAATGCCTACTGTAAGGAAACATTAATTATCGTGATAAATGTGTCCACAAAGAGCTTTGAAATGTTAAGTTTCTTTATCTTTCAATAAGTGGGATCCAAGCTAGATAAGATAAATATATTGTATGTATAATGCTACAATTTATTAATAAAGTAATGTGAAATAAGAAACCCTAATGAAGGTTACAATTAGTTTACTTAAAAAAAAAAAATATAATTATATATGTATGTAAAGGGTTACAAGCACATCAGTTAAGAGACGAGGGTTTTGGTCGTTTATGTAGCATAAGAACACTCTTACCAAGCAGAGACGTCTTTTCAGGATAAAATTGTACGGGTCCTAGGACTCAAAACAGAAAATACCCTTAGGAACCCTCAAAACAAATAATACCTTTGGAAATCCATCTACCATGTTTCTAGATTCGACATATATCAATATCTCTGTGAACTCACCTACCATGTATCTGGATTCGGCATACATCAACATAAATATTAATATCGGAAAATCTAGCCTATATTAAATGAACATTGTGAAAACATCGTCATAAATTTTGAAAAATAAGTAATACTATATATATAAAGTTAAATTTTTAATTGATATAAAATTCATTAATTAGTACAAAATTTTATAATTTTCATAAGAAGAAACTTGATTGAATTTTTGTCTTTCAATACTTACTGACGTCGACATTAATTAGTAATAGTTCTTGAAATTGTAATATTCCAAGTTTAAGTGTTAAGTAGAAAATGAAAGAAAAACAGATAATTATGAATCTTTGATCGATTCCCCAAATTAGGAACACTTGCATCACATTGGTCCAAGAACATTTATTATAATTCTCTTTCAATGGATGGTGTTCCAAATCTCAATAAAATCAATTGTAAGTCAAAGAGAAATTTATATTATGTCATATCATATGGCCCAATAAAATCATAATCTGGATAATTGAAACATTAATTATCGTGATAAATGTGTCCACAAAGAGCTTTGAAATATTAAGGGTGAGTTTCTTATATTATTTTGGATAGAATTTTTGAAAAAGTAAGAGTTAGATGGTAACAACGGCGTAAGATTTAAAAAGTTAATAAAAACATCCCTTAGGTTTATTAATTTACTAAATACTCGTGTAATAAAAATATTAATAATTAAAAAAAAAAAAACCTTACTCATCTATTAAATACTGACAGCCACTATCACTGTCGGAGAGTGGCTGGAGTCGCCGTATCGACGCACGATTAGTTGAATCTGGTCAGTCGTATGCCAAGATGGCCTTTTTCAGCTAGATCTACTGTGGATCTGGATGAAAAAGGCCAGATCTAGCCGCGTTTGGTCATCAACGATAGCCAAAGATATGGCTGTCATTGACAACTAGCTATGACCAAAGATCTAGCTGTTAACAGCCAGATCTTTGGTTGTAGATCTGACATTTTCTGGCTAGATGCACAGTGGATCTGGCCAGAAAATGCTAAATTAGTGCACTACTGGCCAGATCCAGCTGGTAGTGCATCATTATACCAAATTCCGGCCACCTTCCAGCGGTAGTGGTCGGAATCTAGCAAATGTGGGTGGGTGGGGGTGTTTTATTAATTTCTAAACTTTTTTTGGGGGTATTTAGTTAAATTAATAAACTTAGAGGGTTTAAAATAATTAAATAAAATATAATAGTATTTTCAGAATATGGAAACAAATGTGTATTTTGGGAATGATAGGAACATGAGAGGGCAAAAATAGGAACAAATGTTTAGTTTCTTTATCTTTCAATTCTTGGGGTCCAAGCTAGATAAGATAAATATATTTTATGTATTGCTTATCAATTAATTATAAATGCTACAATTTATTAATAAAGTAATGTGAAATGAGAAACCCTAATGAAGGTTACAATTAGTTTAATTAAAAGAAAATATATAATTATATATGTATGAAAAGGGTTATAAGCACATCAGTTAGGAAACGAGGGCCTTAGTCGCTTATGTAGCATAAGAACACCCTCAACACCCAAAGACGTTTTTTCAAGACAAAATTATACAGGTCTTAAGACTCAAAGCAAAAAATACCTCTGGAAACCCACAAAACAAACAATATCTCTGGGAATCCACCTACTATGTTTCTAGATTCGACATATATAAGTATCTTTGTGAACTCACGTGTCTGTATTTGGCATACATCAACAAGAATATTAATATCGGAAAATCCAGCCTATATTAAATGAACATTGTGAAAACATCGTCATAAATTTCGAAAAATAAGTAATACTATATATATTAAGTTAAATTTTTAATTGATATAAAATTCATTAACAACAAACTGGCAGGTAAAACACTTTATTAAACTAGTCATTTGGTGTCTCTGTAGACTTTCTACGTACGGTGTAAGAACAATGACATTTAATGACTTAGAGAATTAATTTGCAAACTAGTCATTTGGCGTCTGTGTAGACTTTCTATGTACTGTGTAAGAACAATGGCATTTAATGACTTAAGAGAATTAATTTGCAACATCCATACCCTTGATTTTCACATTTGAAGTATCCGGCAAAGGATCAAAATCAGAACCCTTTCCTAATCTAAGTTTGATTGAAGCAATGACGCTGTTAAAAAATATTTAACATACACCATCTATTCTAATGCCAACAATATGTAAGAAACTTGACCGGTTTAATTGGTAAGACTGGGACCTAGGGCCTTTTCAGGCTGGGTTACCGCTTTCAACTGTTTCCAAAATTCCTTGACCGTTGGCGAATGAAGGGCTATCAAGTGCTAAGGTTAGATAGATTTTATAGAATAGACGTCAGTAGTTCAAGGAGTGGTGTCAAATTGAATTTTGGACGTCGAAATCAGCCATAATTGGTTTTTAAAAAAATCAACCCAATCAGAACGATATACACGAGTCATGGTTAGCGAACATTGGGGGGGGGGGGGGGGGGGGGGGGTGAGGGGTGAGCGGTGCTAGGTAACCAATTGTGGGGTTATAGGGGTTTTAGAGTAGAGGTTGGTGGTTCAAGTGGTGATATCAGATTGAATTTTGGCCGCCAGAATCAGTTGAAATTTTGCCAAAAAAATCAACCCAATTGTGGTGGTATACGCGAGTCACGGTTGGCAGACGGGGGGCTACCTAATGCTAGGGTTAGAAAGATTTTATAAAGTGGAGGCCGGTGGTTCAAGCGGTGATTTCAATTGAATTTTGGCTACTAGAATCAACAGGAATTTGACTGGAAAAATCAAAACCCTAACTATTGCAGTCATATCACAGGGGTGTTTTTGCTGAATTTCAAATTAATGCATATTTATCAGGGGTATGTTTACAAGATTTCAAACTTTTTGAGTCATCGATTAGACCACTAGTTTAACCAGTTGGACCTGTCAACCTGAGACCCAACCCTTTGGCCGAGTGACACCTCGGGTCGGGTTTCATAACACTGCGTAAGAGGTTTGATACGAGATTAAATAGGACATTTTAACATAATAAATATAACAAAGAAAAGAAATATGACTCTGAAAAGGAAGTGGAAACGTGAGGTAAAAGTTCAGGAAATTGTAAACCGAGGAACATTTATTTAGAAACGTATTTACCGTTGAATTTTAAACCGAGGAACATTTATTTAGAAACGTATTTACCTCGGGTCACATATGCATGAAACAATGCCGAAGAACAGAGACCTATTTAGTTCTTGAAGTGTTTGACCTGATGAAATTATGAAATTTAGAATTTAATACACAGTACAACATATTAAGGTATACTAAGTCAACATATTTTAATACTATTTGCTCTCCTCTTCCTTAAATTTCTGTCAAACGTTCCATCTCTTTCTCTTCCCAATCAATACATCTTTCTTCAAAACGATTTGTTTTTTCTCAGAATTGACTCATTTTACATGCATGATAAGGCATAGCACGACCTTGGGTTTGACTACCATTTATTCAAAAATATTCTTTAATGACTTGTACGAATATGTGACTTCTAGCAAGAGACAAAGTTAAGTGTTTAATTAATTAATTAATTAAACCAGATTTTTTTATAATTCTCCTTTTCCTTTTTTAAGTACATAATAAATGATAAACTGTGTGAAACTTTGAACCGTTAAAAGTTTTCAAATTCTAGTGCATATATGCCTGCGGCTTCGAGGTGCTTTCAGAGTCAGTCTGATTTCTTTTCTCCGTTCAAACAACTGAATTCAAGGGGCAAACTGAAATGGGGTTTAGGGCTTTTCTACAAAATTAATAAGAATTTGCCTCTCCTTGCGTGTTTGAAGGTGACAAATTGTACAGGAAACATTCTTAGATAAAGACTTCTAGGGTTTATGGGGTTTTTAGTATATATAGATGAAGAGATTGGTGCAAAAAGTGTATTGAAAACTTTCTCAAACATAACATAGAAGAGCTTCAAGGCACAATAATATTCATCGATCGATTCCACGTAACAGGTGAGCACGTTTACATAATTTGTTCGTGTAACATATAAAGATGTATAGAGAATCTTTTAATGTGTATCATAAGAATATATGTATTTATCGATATAATTATGAACAGGTGAGAATTCTCTTATTTAACGTGTATTCTAAGAGCACAGGTCAATGAAAAGATTGATCCGAGTATTGAAATAACCTTAAATTTTTCGGAAAAGCATAGAGCTAGCAAATGTGATTATTGTATATACAGGTTTTCATCTCAATATTCTCATCATCCAAACAAAATTCTAAGTTACGTATGTGACTTTTTCTTTAACAGGTAATGTTTTCTGTCAAATTGGAGCCAAAAGATCTTCATCAAGAGGAGACAAAGATGAGAACTATCATGAGCTTCAAGAAAAGAGAGTTGGCTAGTGAATTACCTGAGCTAGAAAATGTAACCATTAATGAAGAATCCATGAGCTTCAAGAGCAGGAAACTTGTAAAACTAAATCTAGACTTTTCAACCAATCATCAACTTATTATGGATAACAAAGCGAAAACAGGTCATCATCATGATCGGCTTGATACAGCTGCAACCAAATTGCAGAAGTTCCACAAGAGTTACCGAACTGATTGTGCTGTGGTTATAGAGGCGCTAAGGTTTGTTAATTGATTAATTTTCTCTCTTTAAGGGCTAGCTGCTTGTTTCATTTCATATAATAAATACTAATGGATATTTTCTTGTTGCAGGTGGAAGGAAATGGAGTATGCAGCTCTTAGGCGAAGTTCTGTGTCATTCTTTACTGCTGATCATAAATCAGAAACTGCTGTTTCCAAATGGGAAAGGGCTAGGATTAGGGCAGCCAAGGTACTTTAATTCCTATACGATACGTAAATTCGACCAATTTAGTTACTCATGTTGACACTAAAAAAATGTTTTGAATAGGACGGATATAAGACGTCAACTCTAAATGTGACGTAACATATCTGTTTTATCGATAGATTTCAGTTGACTAATATTGTACACTGAATCTTGCAGATTGGAAAAGGTTTGTCCAGGAATGAAAAGGCTCAGAAATTAGTTCTAATTCACTGGCTTGAAGCTGTGAGTTCACACATAAAAATACCATATATATTATCTTATTTTATTCCAATTAATTAACAAAATATTTCATGAACTTGATTTGATAATAATTTTTTACTCGTTAAACAGATTGATCCTCGCCATCGTTATGGTGGCAATCTCCACCCTTATTATGATGTCTGGATGGAAAGTGAGAGCAACCAGCCTTTCTTCTACTGGTAATCAAACAAGAAACTTACGTCGTATAATTTTAAGAATTTCACTGTTTAGATTTTTTTTTTTTTTTTTTTTTCTTTAATCACGTTGTGAAAATGAAGGTTGGACATTGGAGATGGCAAAGACGTCAGCACTGAGAAGTGCTCAAGGACTAATTTACAGCTTCAATGCATCAAATATCTTGGACCTGTAAGCACATTCATGCATATATATACTCCCTTTTAGGAAACTGTGGAGTTAAAAAATAAAATCTCAGCTAAACTTTCTCATGTTGATGAATCGATGCAGAAAGAGAGGGAAGCATATGAAGTGGTTATGGAGAACGGGAAGCTTGTTTACAAACAATCTAGGGTTTTCGTGGATACGCCCAAAGGCTCTCAATGGATATTTGTCCTCGGTACTTCAATGGACTTTTACGTTGCGGAGAAGAAGAAAGGATTCTTTCAGCACTCAAGTTTTCTGGCTGGGGGTACCACAATGGCATCTGGAAGATTGGTTGCGCACAGTGGCATCCTCGAGGTATATCTATATATAATCATTCTCGTGTACTGATATTCATATCTTAGCATCTTAAAACATGCGCATATACGAACATGTTTTAGGTTTGGATTCGAGAACATTTATATATTCAATCTTTTCTTCAGGCTATATGGCCATTAAGCGGTCATTATCGTCCAACAGAAGAACATTTCAAGGAATTTTGCAACTTCTTAGAGGATCATAGTCTAGACTTGACAAATGTCAAGGTAAATTGCACTTGTTATCCTTTAATCAAGTCGATTAATATTAAAAGTTTGGGAAAACCCGGTAATTGCCTCTTTTGAAATTCGAACACAAAATCCCTACATATAACTAACCCTAGTGACTAAAAGAATTTTCATCTGGTCACAAAGGGATATGTTATTCTTTAAATGTTAACCGACTAACTTCTAGTATTAATTGGTATACGCAGAAAGTTTCAATTGATGAAGATATCCCTCCTAAAGTTACACAAGACAAGAAGCCAATCAAATCAGAAGAGCCTGCAGTATTAACTCTTGAATCCACTGACAAGCCAAAAGAGCAAGGAAATGAACTGAAAAAAGAAGAAGAATCCATGAAAGTGCAGGAAGAATCAGCGGCAGGCTTAGAGGAATCCATTAAGAAGCCGTTATTGTTACAAAAATGGAGCAAAGGAGGAGGTCCAAAAGAGCTTCAGCATCATGGAGTTGAACAAGTTCTCAATTTGTCTCCAAGACCAGTGAAGTCTGCAAGACCATTTGTGATCAGCTGTGGTCTTGTTGCTTCCCCAAGACCTGGTTCAAAGATTCAATTCCCTCCAAGTACACTTGCATGCTTAGGACTCCCAAATCCAATTCATTTTTCTAATTCTAAAGTAATTAGGGAAGTAATTAGGGCTGATTAGATTATTTTAACGTGAGTTGAACTGGTTTTTTTCCTCTCGCACGACTAGTATATATTTTTAGATATTCGTTTAGAAGATCAAATAAGTGATTAACCATTATTTCTGATCCTTCATTGTGGTCATACTGTTATATGGGTCATCTAGCTAGTTGAATCTTGTCTAAATCAAACTTTTTTTTTCTTCCTTTTGGGGATATTTAATTTCAAGGGGTTATGGTGATTCTTTCCCTTGTAGAATTTTCATTCTTTGTATTAAATAAATGTTCAATTAATTAATCTTTCAATGGTAAAATAATGTCTATCTATGGCTCTCTTTCTTTATGATGATTACTTGGAACTAAGCATTTTATGGTCTTTTTTTAAATTAAAGATGTGGGATCAATCTAATACTTTACTTTTGCTTCAATATGTACTCTGATTAAGCTACTCAATTTGCCCATTTTCAAAATTAATATAATGTAATAACTAAATTAAGTTTTATAAACACTATTCTTGATTATCAATTCAAAGGGTGTGTTTGATTTTTGAAGAAAGCTCAAGGGAAGTGAGAGAAATTAACCTAAAATGACACAAGAATAACAGAAATTATGTTAAATGTCACTATTTTAGACGAAATTACCCCTATTGACAAATCCCTAAACTTCAAAGAAAAACCTACGCTTCAACTATAAAATTCCCAAGTGAAGACTTGGTTTTGTTATCTAAAAGAGTTATTGTTGGACTGATATAATCAGTATATTGGGTTATTAAAGGGTTTAGAAGAGAACATCCGATAAGCTTTCGAATTTGAAAGTTGTTCCAAATAAGATATCATTGAGAATGTTGCATATCTGTATAGAAAATTAGTTTATAAGCTACTTTTGTGATGAGTTGTTATTTTCATGATTGTTTAAGCTTATATTAGTGTTGAGATGTTGAAAATGGGTGGTTTATACAAATTTGGGTATGGGTATCGGTCAATTTCAGAGGATTCAAATAAAAAATTGGTTGGAGGTTGAAGACGAGTTTTGGTTGACCCCACCCATTCGACCGAATTTGGCCAACTTCACCCTTCAACACTAAAGTGGCAGAATATGGCTGAATCATGTCAATCGGCTAGATCTAGTCATTTGGACAAAACCTTACATGCCCGAATTTAGTCGTGTCCTAGGCTTTTGAGCAAAACCTCCTGCTTCTTCTTCAAATGACTTGCAATTTTTGGCCGACATGGTCATTCGAATCGACTTAGCCTCTTGCCAACCAAAAAATGTAGGTCTCCATTATCATTTTCCACCGTTGGGAACCATTAAAACCATCAATCAATCCCATCTCACATTCAAAACCAACAACTCCATAAAAAACCCTAAATCAATTGAAATGCAATTCAATTTGATTGAAATCTAAGACAAAATCAAATAACAAAATCAATTTATAGGTCGGGTTTTCAAAGTTTTCAATGTAGAGAATGGTTATGATGAGTTTGAAGAAGATGTGTGAATGTTGAAGTTTATTTGTACGTGGGGGCTTTTTCGAACTTCAAACTTGTGTAAAATGGGATTGTGATTGTGATATTTCTCAAGAAAGTTTTAAAAAAGTGTGTAGATTTCAATTTCCTACCCAAAATACTGTCATTTTATATATAATCTTGGCTTAATTAATTAATTAAGATTTAACTTAAAATAAGGAGCGGGTAAAAAGTCAATTATATCCGTTACAATTATCTTTTTTTTTATTAATTCGAATTTCGAAATTCAAACATCTGTCACTATAACCCACCAAGTCCAACGGTCTCTTCAGCTTTTGTTGCCCCATTTCTATTGCCAGAAAACACTTTAGTTTTCCCCGAACAGTTTCTACTTTCAAATTCTTCTCCACCCTCTCTCTCTCTTCTCAAACAACCCACTTTCCAGCTTTCTGTTGTCAAATTCTGTTTTCAGAAAACAGTTTTCTAAAGCACTTCTCCTCATATCTACTACTCTGCTCTTTCATCACAAACACTCCACTCTCCAGCTTTTGCTGTCACAGTCTGTTTTCGAAACACTTCCCCTGTCAACTACTAAGACTCAACTAGCCAATCTCCAGCTTCTGTTGTTAAATTCTGTTTCCAAAAAACAGTTTTTTGAAACAATTTCGTTTCAATTCGTACTCTGATCTTTCATTACAAGCACTCTACTCTCCAGCTTTTGTTGTCAAATTCTGTTTTCGAAAAAGAGTTTCTTGAAACACTTACTCTTTTAACTGATACTGTAATTGTTCATTACTAAATCTCCGTTTTCTGAAAACACTGGTTGCTTTTAAAATCTCCGTTTGTTTCACTCGTACAAGTAGTTTTCCGTTGCCAAAAAACAGTTTTTTTAATTCTTCTCTTGAAGAATCGAACTTTTCAGATGGGTGTTTCTAGAAAATGGCTGAGATCACTAATGACTCACAAAAAAGTTCAAACTTCAGACCAGGCAAGGCGAAATTTTTTTTCTTTTTTCCTATGATTTCGCTGTTTTCATTTTGATCATCTGGGTTTTTTGCAGGATAAAGTTAATGACAGCAACACCAAGAAGAAGTGGAGGCTATGGAGGAGTCCATCAGAAGGGTTTGGGCCTTCCTCAAAGAGAGGCCACGTGGCAGCCTCAGAGGTGTCTGATTCTGATGGTGCGTTCAATGCAGCCATGGCTACCGTGGTTAGAGCTCTCCCCAAAGATTTCAAGATGGTTAGGCAAGAATGGGCTGCAATTCGCATCCAAACAGCATTTCGAGGCTTGTTGGTAATTATATATATATATATATATATTTTTTTTTTTTTTTGTTGTATGTTATTAAAATGATGTCGTGTAAAGTTTAGATTTTTAATTTTTGATGTTGACTATTAGTAATGTCATGTTGTGCATTAGTAAAATGATATTGTGTGGTAGTACTAAAAGCCAGTTGATTAGGTAACAATACCAAAATTGTTTTGTGCTTGATCAGTTAACGGTATTGTTTGAGCCTCTCTGTTCATAGTGGTTAGAGCTTTAATTGTAAATAACAGATGAGAGTTTAATTGAGAACAAAGAGATTTCCTAATCCTAGCATTTGTAATATGCCACTTTGTAACATACTTGTTGGGTTCAAAATTTTCATGCTAATTAAACTGCTGTTAGATTTTTTTTCTTAAACTGTAAATTTGTTAAATGGGAATTATGAAATAATTGCAGGCTAGACGAGCTTTGAGGGCCCTGAAAGCAGTGGTGAGGCTTCAAGCTATTTTTCGTGGGAGACAGGTGCGGAAGCAAGCTGCTGTGACACTGAGGTGCATGCAAGCTCTTGTTCGAGTTCAGGCTCATGTACGGGCAAGGACTGTGAAAGAAACTTCCGAAGAGCAAGCTGCGGATCAGGTTAATCCAACTAAGCTGGTTGAGGTAATGTTGTACAAGTGAACTGTTGATTTGGTTTTTATATGATTCTGCTTTGTGTGTTATATATGTTAAGTAACAAGATTTTGATGATATTCTCAGTTCTCATGAATGGACTCATTGATCTTTTTGCAGCAAGGATGGTGTGATATTCCTGGAACTGCAGATGAAGTTAGAGTAAAACTAAAACTGAGGCAAGAAGGAGCAATCAAGAGGGAGAGAGCAAATGCTTACTTCCTTTCTCAACAGGTTCTTTTCCTTTATGTTATTAGCTAGTTAGCGGAATAAATTTCCAGTTAATGCTTCAAGTTAAAGAAAGAATGATTCATGTTTATAACTATTAAATAAGATGAGGCCTTCAGTATATTAAGTTAGCATTTGTAAAATTTTGATGCTGTCCAGCGATCAAGATCTTGTCCTAGTCCTAATTCAAGAGCAAACAAGGCAGCAGTGTCCCTCAAGCATCATAGGCTGGACAAGAACAGCCAGGAATGGAGCTGGCTAGACAGTTGGATGGCAGCCAAGCCATGGGAAAACAGGCTGTTAGAAGAGATTCATACGGACCCATCTGAGATGATGACGACTCCTTTTTCTCGTAAAAGTGAAGATAATATTGCAGGGTTCTATTCCAGTTCTTCTGAACATTACCCTGTAAAAGGAAGAAGGATTAATGCCACTGCTAAAACCCGTGCTGAACGTCAAATTACTCACTCATCCTTCTCCCCAAGTTCTGAATCTCCATATGACGAGACCTCACCGTCAACTTCATCTTCATCCGTGTCTCAAACTCCAGTGTCGGGCAATATTCTTATGGTGGAAGGATCAGAAGATAGTTATTACCGAAAACCAAGCTACATGAGTCTCACACAGTCAACCAAAGCTAAGCATAAGGCTACAAGGTTTTCTTCTTACAAGAATCCATTAGCATTTTCTAATGGAGACAACAGAAGCTGTGCTGATTCTAATCCTTCATCCAATTTGTGCAAGGATTTGTACCCACCAGTGCCATTGGGTCAACATGATTGGTTCAGGAACCAGCGGTGCCAAGGGAGCTGAAATTTGCTCAGTACAACAGCTTGTTGCCCATTGCAAATTGTTATACCAGCCTAATTACATAGACTTGTACCAAAGGATTGATGCCGAGTCATCTTGGTTCAGATACATATATTATACATGTATTATCTAAATATTTGGAATGCTTGTGTTCATAGAATTTGAAATATGCTGCTTCATGAGCTTGTGACTGTCTTTTCTTTTTGTTTAGGACTTAATCTGCAAAGAGATGGCATTTAAGTCTACTGGGTTTACTTAGTTAAAAAGAGATGAAAATTTTGAGTAATCCCATATGGGAATGGGATAGATCTCGTTCATTTAATGAAAGATTGAAAGAGTGTTGTTTTTGTGATTAATGATATAGTTCTTTATCATTTGTTCAGGAATGCTATTCACTAACTTGGTTGTATTTGTATATGGGCTGAAGAAAAATAGACTTCTGGTATCTTTTTCATTGCATATTTACAGATGGTGCCCAACGGGCCAACACCATAGATAGAACCTCTGATTAATTTCAGTGTAATACTGACATGCGCTAAATATAATATAGTCTTCCTCTTGTTCAGTATAAGAAAGTGTAAGCCAGTTTGTTTTAGCGTCGTCGTGTTTTATTTTAAATGATTCAAACACGAGAAAATTTTTATGTGGAACCTAAATATTCACACGCTTATTAGTGTCTTGACCTGGCCTGCTGCTTGTGAAGTATGGAAGGAGACTAAATTTGAATTCGATTATATAATATGTTTTAAGAAGCTATAAAGCAAATAGATTAACCAAACTTTTTGCGCTGACATACTATATATATAATACAGTCAGTCTTTAATACGCAGACGTATATACTCTATACTGTAAAAGGCAGACCGATTTGATATCTAGTCTACATCTCATTTATTTTTAGAAGCTGCAAAACAAACAGATGACTCAAAACTTTTGAGTCTAATCTTTTGCCTTTCCCTGATACTTTATACCTCAAGGAATCTCTTGTTCCTATTGATTTTTTTGCAATCAGGATAGCATGATATGTTAATTATGATAAAATTTCTCAACCCTTTTGGCAGACATTGAGATCGAGGAGATCTCATCAGCTGTTTCCCACATACAATAATTCAAGGAAGAATCCAGTGAAAAAGAAATTGTAGGGGCTCTTGATTAATTGCCATAAACATTCAGAATTTGATTTAGTTTTGAACACTTTTTGGTCTGGTCCCAGACTGACGGGGGGTTGGCCCTCTAGCACTAACACTAGCTATTGCAGCTCAATTATACACAGAAATGGAATGGCTGATACAGCTCAGAAACAACGTGAAGGAAATGCTTCTGCTAAAAGCATTGAATTGAATTTCCTTTTTCAAGGACAATATTCATCAAGCTAACTTCTGAATCATTATTTACATGAAGATTTCCAAGTTCTAATAATGTGAATAGCAATAATTCAGCCTCATTAGACTTTGGTCAACCTGAATCATTGCTAATATTCCTGTACCTGTAACATTTAACACAGTAAAATCCAACTGGAGATTTTTACCACCTAAGATAAGGTGTCAGAAACTGAAGTTCAATGGGTAAAGAGTAACTATAAACACTATTCACTAACTTTCTTTTGTAAAATACCACGTGTCAACTCACAATTCGTCAATTTACATAGGTCTCGCCTATCCAATAATAGATACCACCTAACCAAGTCAATCACAAACTCCCACATAGGGTTAATAAGAGGAATTTGTTAGGTTAGTATTATTGATTTGTAAATCTTGTACATATATAAAACGAACATTTCTTACTAACTTTCTCTCACAAACATCACGTGTTAACTCACAATTCGTTAGTTTACATAGATCTCGTCTATCCAATAATGGGTATCGCCTGACCAAGCCAATCACAAACTTTTACATGGGGTTAATGAGAGGAGTTTATTAGGTTAATATTATTGATTTGTAAATCATGTACATATATAAAACGTTGTAAAATTTTTAGAAAAGAAACTGATATGATACTTGGATAACGCTATCCCTGACACCAACCATTTTATTTCTTTGATAGTCCAGTAATCAATGACTACAAAAACTGAGGTTGAATGTAATTCTTATAACGTAAAACGTAATTCTTATAATATTTCCAAATGAAACTAATATGATATTGGTATAAAGTTATCATCATAACGACTATTGAATTTCTTAGATAGTAAAGCACTCAAAAACTGCAAACTAAGGTTCAATGCAATTCTTGTAACATAAAACGTGACATGACATTTATAAAATGAAACGTTTGATATAACGTTTTGAATAATGAAACTTGGGCTCATGATCCTTGCTTTGAATAGTAGTTAGAGGGATGAAATGAACAGAAATATAAAAGACCATGGTGGTTGATGTGACACGTGGGAATTATGGTCCCGATATTCACGGTCACAAAGAGGACCACAGGGCATCAAAATCATCCCCACCTGACGTATAATGAATTAATCTTTCTAAATCTCAGAGCAATAGAAAGAAATGGAAAAGAGAATATCTTTAAACATAAAAACTGTATATGAAATGGTTAATTGGTCGATTTCACTAGTAAAGTTGTTTGATATTTAGAGAAGCTTTAGACAGTATCTTCAATTCGTTAAAGTGTTGACTTCTATACATTGCATGGATCAGAATTACATGTATACGACACAACAAGATGATCAGATTTCATGAACTTCCCACGTGGAGAAGCTAGCAACAAATTGAATGGAAAAGAAAGGAAAGGAAAAAAATATGGGAAGGTTTCTTCAACTTGGAGTAAGTGGACTTAAATTTCTTTCTTTGGGGGGTTGCCATGAACATAAGTTAAAGGCATTGTGGGGAGCAAGTGGGGACTTGTAGGGTTACCTACATTTTGTTGTATACAGACTTTCATGTTCATTATCAATCCCTCGCTGATCTCTCTTGAGCTTTGTTCTAACTCAAAACATGCGCATTCTCAGTTTTAATAGGGTTAGGGTAAGGATTACAACCCTTTATAAAGAATGTCAATTTATAAACGGAAATGTAAAAAGAATATATTCACGGATAAATACTATCAAGAGATAAGTGTAGAGGATTTTTTTTGCCTAGTTTTTGTGCGTAAGGATTGGTGACCTTTTGCTTTTTTTTTTTGTGGCGCAGCTCTTGGTCCTGTCCAAGAGTTAGGCTTGTGACTGTTATTCTTTATTCTTTTACACAATTACCGAGTTTACCTAAAAAAGTAAAAGGAATATATTCACGGATGCTGTCAAGGGATAAGTGAAGAGGTTAGACTATAAAGAATCATATTCTTGACAAAGGCTTCCTTAATGGTCTGTTTTCCGTGATTGAAACCGTTCTTCACGGTTTTTGATTCTCTAAGGAGAGGGGTTTATAGTGTTATTTCATTTATATATAGTGTAAAAGTTGGTACTACCTCTCCCCTTGTGGCTAGATAACAAGCACTTTAGTTATTAAGATTAGCTATATGCAAGGAATCTTGTCTTTGGGTCATTTAAAAAAAAAAAAAAAAAAAAAATTGGTATTATTAACTCATTCTTTATCTCCGTCTTCTTTATGTGAATTTGCGCATTGATGATATGGACAATATGTGTCTCATATTGCTAACTTTTATGTGTGCAAGTCAAAATTATTAAGATTCCTTTGCAATTGTCAAGGCTAAAAGATGTTGATAATGTGTCTTGGTGCTACTTAGTATAATTCCATATCACTTTTCTCAATTGGATTAGAAAGATTTCTAATTTGTTCCCCTATTGCAAATTGGCTTCCCCACTCTCCTCTTTATCCACAACTTTTTAACATTAAAGGAAAATTATTACTCTTTTTTTATATAAATTATAATTACTTGCTCAATCCAAGAGAAAAGAAAAAGGAAAAAGCTTTTATAAAGAGAACTTACTAATCATTATAGTATTTTGACAGAAGGATTTTATATAATTTTGTTCCCCCAACGTCTCATCAATGAAAAACAAATTTTCCATTTAAGTATATGAAATAACAATTTACCTCTTATCATTTATGTTTCTTTAGGGTTTACATCTTAATTAATCCATCAAATCATTGTAAGAATGAAATTGTTATTTCATATGTTTGAAGGGACATTGTCATTCAAGAAAATCTTGAGATAGAGAAATTGTATTGAACCCTGAACCCTAAACTCAAATTACACCAAACCTTAATAACTATAGGACAATCAATTGAAGTTGGTATGTATATCTTGCTAGCTTCAAATGAAATCCTTTCAAAAAAACAAAAAACAAAAATCAATGTTATAGATGATTGAAAAAGACCTATACCAAAAACCAAATATTGTGTCAAGACTCAAGAGAGAGAGAGGACAAATAAAAGAAATTGCAAGGCATTATGTCATCTAGTACTTATTCTTCTTACAAATATGAAAATTTTGAGTTAGGAAAAAAACAAATTTTGGCTACAGTTCTGTCCTCTGATGGCTCAACAAATAAAGCAAGAGAGTGGTGGGGGTATTAATTGTTGCATGTGCCAACAATTAAACCAAGAATCTTCTTTGGTCCTATTCGGGATTATTGGTTATATATTTTTCCTTCCTTCACAAGCATTCCGATCTCTTCCTTTTTTCTTTCACAAGCAATGCACAGAAAAATGTTACCCAAGTACTTGGCAAAACCTGTTTCACCATAGAAGAAAGAAAGCATATGCATTTTGCTTTAAACTTTTCTTTTTTTCTTTTTTTTTCTTTTTTACCTTGGGATTATTGGAATTAGTTATTGAAATTTCAATGTGCTATACAGCTATATATTTCCAAGAAATAAATAATAATAAAAAAAAAGCTTTCTTTTTATCATATAGTTATACTTCTATATTTATGCACACCGACACCCACCACACATAATTGTGTTGTGTGCACAAATATATAAACACATAAAATATCACAAACCATATTGAAGAAAATAAATTAAAAAAATATTATCCAACTAAGGTATTTGGGTCAGTTTTTACACACCTCAACTAATCTTTGGAGGAGACTAGCACAGCAACCCACCGCCACAGCTCCCACTTAAATCGCGGATGCTTAGAAGGATAATTGAACTTAAGATCATGCGCTTATCCACACTATCACTAATTCATCCTAACACTCACAAATGCGTATAAATTTTCAAGGCCTTTGTTAGAGAAAACATTATTATTCATGAAACTTCAAAGAAGATTATGATAATTAACCATATATTATATGTCTTACACAATGTTTTTAGTAATTATAATTAGAACAAAACTAATTAAATTGAATTTAGTAAATGGGAATCTCCATGTTCTTCCCACCCCCCACTAAAGAAAAAGAGAGAGAACCAAAAAAAAAAAAGATCTTAATAGTACGATTGGAAAAGGATCAAGGAGCAACTAAAGGACATCCAAGACTAGACAAGAAGGGGGACACTTAAATTTCTATATTTTAAATGGAATCTTTAAAAGAATTGCAAGAAAAAAAAATTATAGTCAAATTAAACTGCTTTCATCATTTCAAATTAAATAAAGATTTCCCAATTTGAATCATTCCCTCCTTTTGATGAATTGCTTTTTCCCTTTTTAATCTTTGTGAAATGGGTTTAGAAGAATGCATCTAATTAACGTTAGCTATTGTGTAACTTTCAATATTGTATGTTATGTTAATTAATTATATATTAACCACCCTTCTAATGTTGACATTACATCTTATAATTAATTGGTTTTTTTTTTTTTTACACAATATGGTTCCAAGCCAATTATCATTACGCATGAATGAGAGGTAATATTATAGTTTGACTAGAGTAAATAATTGAAACAAGCAACTAGTGAGTTAAAATTTGTCTTTTATGTAGTGAAGTGATTATCCAAATTTGTAAAATTAAGCTAGATCTGAATTTGTATAAGGAGGAGAAGAAAAGGGAGAGATTTGGGTTACTTTGATAATTGGGTCTGAGCCAGTTTACGCGTACTTTAACTAATCTTCAAAATTTATTAAATACCTTATAAACCCAAAGGATCAGATAATTAGGGTTTTTACTTTACCTAAACTATGATTTACTATTAATTTGATTAGANCTAGTGAGTTAAAATTTGTCTTTTATGTAGTGAAGTGATTATCCAAATTTGTAAAATTAAGCTAGATCTGAATTTGTATAAGGAGGAGAAGAAAAGGGAGAGATTTGGGTTACTTTGATAATTGGGTCTGAGCCAGTTTACGCGTACTTTAACTAATCTTCAAAATTTATTAAATACCTTATAAACCCAAAGGATCAGATAATTAGGGTTTTTACTTTACCTAAACTATGATTTACTATTAGTTTGATTAGATTGGTGACCTAAAAGAAAAGCTCTAATGCTGACACAAGAATGGAAAGAAAATTGTATTTACATAGTAATAATTAGATTAAATTATAATTCTTGTCAAAATCTTTCACATTGATCTTCACAAATTTTTGTAGGGATATCTATTTCACAATCGTGCTAGATTTGTACTACTTAAAGAATGCTTAAGAATTTCAAGGCTAGCTAGCCAATAGAATAATATATTTAATTATTTATTTAAATAAATATTCCCATAAATGCTTCAATATTACTTCATTGAAAGAATGGACATGAAGGATTAATCAAAAAGCCACACGTCAAGTTAATTAATAAGAAGTGGGAAGTAGATAGGGTTTTCTATTTGAAGGAAAAATTGTGAGAAAATGAAAGGAATAGGGGACCTTATAAAAATGCATGAAATTATTAGCTATATGTATTTCCATTAACATATATATATTGTCTTTGGTTACAATATTAATTGGACTAAGGCCTAAAGAGGGTCACCCTTTTCACTGCCTCCCCTACATTTAGAAGAATTCTTAGGCCTAATCAATTGAAAGAAAGTAAATTTTTTCTGTTTTTGTTTTGACATCAAAGAGTAAAAGTAACATAAAATGAATAGTACGAAATCATTCGTTCATAACTGTCAATTGTTTAATCTTTACTGTACATATAATAAAAAAGTTTATCAATCTTTCTCATATGGTACATGCATATGCTTAATCATAAATACTATTCATCATCGGAATCACCGATGTAATTAATTACCTGTTTTCAGACAGTATGATATTGCTTACTTCATCTCATCTATCTTAAACAGTTTTGAATATCAAGTGTTACGATTGTTCTCACTGCTATAATATTATGGTTCTTATATAAAATTCTAGTACTACATATACAAACAAAAACCTAGTTTTAAAATAATCAATTGAGAAACAAGATAAAGAGCTCAGCCCTTAATATGCTACTCCATGTTAAATATCTTCATCTCTCTCATTATTGTCTTAATTATCAACCAGATATGATAGTACCAAAAATGAAGCCTCTTCATGTGCCATAATTTATGTTTTAATTAAGAGAAAATGATCCAGAAATTACTCAATTAATTGCTGGCCTATTTTCCATCATTTCATCACCAACAAAACCCTTGTCCTTTTGCTTTAATGTTACACTAAAATGGCTGCTCTTATTATTGCATTTTGTGTTCTTCGTAAAATTTGTGACCCCAGCTCAAATGTTCAATCATCATAATTAAACTTTGCTGTGCATTATTCTTTTCACTTTATTAATGAAATGTGTCCCCATCCTCAAATCAATCAATCAAATCATGTAATATAATATAATATATAAAAATATTATATAGATTGCTCATGTTAACACACATTACATGCCAGCATTTTTCTATTAGAATTTATTAATTATAATTAAAAATTTAATGATCCCATTGTCCTGGAGGTAATTTTTTGTTGAAAGAACAATTATAAGTCCAATCAAGAGAAAAGTTAAATGGAGAGATTCTCTTGGAACTTTCCACTGTAAAACAATGGAGCCAAAATGTTTCCCATTAAATATTTAAGTGAAGAAACGTGATAAAAAAAAACAAAAAGAATTCAATAATTTGATGTTATTTCATTCAAACTTTCACACTGTCTATCATCAATTGCTTAACTGGAAACATGAATTTAGGCTTTGGGAATCTTTGTTCATGGCGGCTATGATATAATTGGCACTTAGATTGAAAAACACGAAAAAATATTAGCGATTAAATATTATATAAATAGATAAATAAATAAAACCAAGTTGATAAAGTTTGCTTTCATTAATTGAGGATTAAGAAACTCGTGATAGAAATGTTATAGTAATTTGATCGTCTACAAGTTGAAGGTGACAATGGACATCCTCTGTTTAACCCAACTGATGTAACAGATAAATGTGCGTGAAATTTCAAACTTAATAAATACGTTAAAAGGGTGTCAACAATGTTATTAATGCTATCATTTTGACCCTCAAGTTATGCGTACTTTGACTACTCATATAGGGTCTTAAAGTTAACAATAGGATAAATCCTTCAATAGTCATCCTTATTAAGAATTGAGGATATTAAATTCAAGATCTCTTGAATAATACAATCAAAAGTCTCTATCAGACATCACTCCACCTCGCCATCCAGGGGTGGTTATACTTGAAAGGGATTAAAATTTGCGAGCGAGGAAGAGATCGAGTGTTTAAGCTTATAATTTTGAGAGATTGGAATCGAACCTATACGACAAATCATCCTCTGCGTACAACACCGTCATCAGTTCTATCAAACACTATATATAGAGTCCAAACGTTTCCTCGATGGAAACTATATCGAACACGAGATTCCTCCCTGGCGAAAATTTCTGAATCAACAAATTAAGGTGGTGAGATTTCACATCTTATCCTAGCTAGGGGACGCTATATATGCAATGTGGTTAGATTTTTAATAAAGATAAAACCAACCTAATTTAGCTTAATTTTGTCAAGTAAGCTACGATCGACTTCACCTTAGGCCACCACAGAGGCTTGACTATAAACACCTTACAAAAGCTTTTATTTATGTATATTAGCAACTATATCTCTCGTGATTAATAAAATTTTGTCCAATTAAGATCATGATAGCGCCCTTATTTAAAAGTTTAATGAAGATCTTCTACTAAGAATAGCTCACAGACACAGCCTCCCATCATTCAATCAATCTACATATCAATAATTATGTTGGGTAAGTTTGGTTGATTGGTTAATAAATTGTATAATCATTCCTAATACTATTATAACATTATCATTTAGACACCAACAACAACAAAGTTATACTATTACCGGTTCAGTAATCTGAATCACTTCATCTCCCTCTGATTTAAGTGTATCTGGATGTTGGCGTTTTAACAACATGCATTGATTTGTGCGCCGGAAAATCTGGATGTCACCACAGTTCATATGTACTCCAACACATCCTCCATTGTGTCCGAAGATGTATATTTACTGTTAAACTGTACTGTATTTACTGAAAGGTAAAAGCTTGCATAAGGAGATTCCAGTTCTGTGTTTTCTTGTTTGCTCTGCACCAGTCAGATCATGACAACTATTTTCATGCAATCACAACCCTTCGATCAGCTTTCAAATCTGTCATCAATGATGTAATGAACCATGCAAACCTATGAATCAATAAAAGGTGATGGCATACATACATAGTATAGTTTTTTTTTTTTATATCATCAAGCAGTAGAAGAATTAAGTTCTTGGCTCGATAAGTCCTATTTTTTATTTTTTTAATAAAAAATTATTTTATTTTCTTGAAGTGGGACCCACTAATCTGCATGAATAACACGTGTACAATGGAGGACAGACCTATCTTCAGAACGAGCAAACGAAGATCCCAATATAAGCCATACAAGTCTTACAAGATGAAACTGCAGCTTTTAGCCTTTTGCCCGGAAACCCTAATTGGGCCACCATGGTACTGCTCTCTGCATTAAATTCTTAAGACCACCCTCATCGTACTGTCTTCACTTTCTCATTATCAAAACAATTAAACCCACTTCAAAGTCTTTGTTGATTTGCTCACTCACAGTTTTTTTTTTTTTTTTTTTAATTAATTAATTTATTGTTTTGATTGGGGGAGTTTTATTTGTTTGTCTTTTTAACTTTTTGAGTTATCTCCTTCTTCTGAGTTCTGTCATTGCCTGCAAAAACTGGTTCCAGATGGGACATCACTCTTGTTGCAACAAGCAGAAGGTCAAGAGGGGGCTGTGGTCACCGGAGGAAGACGAGAAACTCATCAATTATATCTCAACTTATGGACATGGTTGCTGGAGCTCAGTTCCAAGACTTGCAGGTTTTTATTCTCTTTCTCTTACTCTTTCTCTTTGTTTGGAAATAGAATCCACCAACTTTTGATAAACTCGTCAATTATATCTCTCTGTTTGATATGGTGCAGGGCTGCAGAGATGTGGAAAGAGTTGCAGACTGAGATGGATAAATTATCTTCGACCTGACTTGAAACGTGGGAGCTTCTCTCCTCAAGAGGCTGCTCTCATCATTGAGCTCCATAGTATTCTAGGAAACAGGTAGTTCATTTTTCTTTCTTTTTTTAAGCGAACCTCGACAGTACGAGAAAATTTTATATATCTGTGTCATCGATATCGTTTGTGTGCTATTTCATGCACAGATGGGCGCAGATAGCTAAGCATCTGCCAGGAAGAACAGATAACGAAGTGAAGAACTTTTGGAATTCAAGCATAAAGAAGAAGCTCATCTCTCATGATGTTCCTGCTTTAGCAAACTTCTCTGATTTTCACAACCCTAGTTGTCCTGAAGGAGTTTACATCCCTTTAACTGAAAATCCTAATTTGACTCAACAAAACCAGTTCTTTCTTCCTTCTCCATCTCCAATGCTGCAAACTCTTGGCCAAGCTGAGTTCAAACTGAATCAAAGCAATTTCAATGCTGATTCATTTCATTTTCCTCATTCTATGAACCCTTCTCTGCCCAAAAGTTCATCTTCGTTTGAGAATTCATGTTGGTCATTGCCTAATTATCTCCCACAACACCTTGCTGATTCATCAAATCATCATCGAGAGAACCAAATTTTCAACAATGATAATAATAATAGCAATACTATTGTTGATCCAAGCATTGTCCCAATGGCGCCTTTTCATGACAATCCTTTAATGGTGCCCACAATGCCTAAGCTTTGTGACATCCTTGAAGCAAATCATATTTGCGGCAGCATGCCACCTTCATCTGATTCTCTAGAAGTTGACCCAATTGCAAGACTTGCAAGTAGTACTAATTTTCCATCTGGGTCATATCCTCAACCACCAATGACCGATCCAATGGACTACATTGATGCTATCATGTCAACCCTACCTCCTGCGGCGTCCTCGTCATCATCATTGTCACCATTATCAAGAGTGCAATATTTGACAAACCCTAATTTTCCTGCAACCAGCTGGGGTCCATAGACATGATTCTGGAATGAAAAAAATTTTAGGTATCTCATGTATTCAATTTATTATGTTAGCATGCATTTATTCCATGAAATATGCATAAGATGGTGAGTGCAACTCTTGTAGGATAACCTAAGTATTTTCTAGTTCAGGTGCTTCAGTGAGTAATGGTTTCTAGCTATATTTTGTTCCATAAATATGTGTAAGTTCTTTCACATGTATCTCACCTAAATTTACACATATATATTTAGATTTGTATATCAGTCACTTCTCCAGTGATATATATAAATTAAAAGTACTCTACATTTTAGCACTTAATATTTCCTAGTAGTGAAAACTACTTTCTGTATATCTCTATTCTCCCTTCTTTAATTTCCCCCTTTTTTTTGCAGCTACTTTTATAGAAGGGGACATTGCATAGTACAAATTCATTTATGTAATTTATACTTTATGAGAAGATTTTATTGAAACCATATAGCTTGCTCAGTACAGTGAAGTTGTACATTCAAAGTACTCATCAAATGTGAAAGAGCTAGTGTTTATAGCCTTCTCCCACGCCGATAAACACGTCGGAAAAATGTCACAACAGACACATAGATCTTGTCACTTATTTAGATTAATCTAACACCGAAGCAGCCTTTGAAGCTGTTGGTTGGGGTTACCTATTTTGATATGCGGTTCTTTTCTGCTTTTCTTTTTCTTTTCCTTTCTTTTCCTTTCTTTTTCTGATGTATGATTATCTCTTTTAGAGTTTCAAAAGCATTGACTTAATCACATTCATGTCTCTCTTGTCGCTTACTTTCTTGATCCTGATGTCTTTGAAGGAAACCAATTAGTCTTGCCTTAGAAATGAAGTGAAAGGTCCACTTGAATCTACTCGCATGATAACAGTAACTTGGTGGTGGTTATGACAAGAAAACCAAAATTAATTTAATTTATTTCATATTGTATATCGAATAGAAGAAGATGATGATGATGATGATGATCAAATTATATTTTATTTAATTGTCATGTCAAAATGTTTGGTTCAAATGATTAAACAATATTCATGTCACATGGGTTAGTATAATTACTTGCCATAGAATGGTCTCACCGGTTAAAATATGGACTAAAAATTGTTAAAAATGTATAACTCTTGAGTGTCACTGGGACCTCTCAGGATTATGGTTCCATGTGCAGCTTCATGCCATTCAAAATTTGCATGTTGCTGGTACACTTCACAGTTACAATAGTAACAACCATTCAATGGACTTGAAGATGTTGTCATGATAGTGGGTTCTATTACAATGTTGGAAGTAACGGCGATGGACCATTTATGTTCTCATCAGAGGGGTTTTAATACAGTACAGTATTTGTATTAATACATCAATGTAAATTCGTACAGCGAAACTTGTAAATGAAAAAATAGCCAAAGCCCTAGTCATGGTTACTAGTTATCAATGGATACTGGATGAATTCATTACCCTTGAGAGTCTCAAGGAATTGATGGCTTTCACTTGTGACTTACAGTTCTTCTCTCAATTGGGCCTATAGGGTTAGATGGTATAGGCCGAGATGTACCCTCCACAGACTTTGTACGAATTCACATTTATAGTTCTCTGTTGAATTGTGCTTGACAGGTTGGAATTCCAGAATGGCAGCATTTTGGCTGTGTCTGTATTTCAAGCAATAAAAGGCGCAGGCCATAGCAATTAAGGTTATCCCAGCTCTCTGAATCAGAACAGTTTTCTGTTTCAGAAGAAAACTCCATTCCAGGCTAACTTCCTCAGTGTAGGTGTGAATGATAGTCTCATAAACTAAAATGAATCTGGTGACAAACTTATAATCAATTCAAGGTTTACTAGAACCATGTTAAACTAATTTGAATGTGAAAAAATTCATCATCAGATCAATAAAATTCTTTACTATGAAGCACGCCAACTAGGAATATAGTGTTGCAAGTGCTTACAGTCAATTCACATCGAGGTATCAGAGGCAACTTCGCCTAAAATAACCTTGATTTGGATCATCAGATCAAGATTAAAACGTTTCATTGCTCTTGGATTTAAACAAATAATGGATGCAGCTACATTTTATGATTATTAAAACTACAGACATTTGCATAACAATCCAAGTAACGGCATATGCTTGCAAGAATATGTATAGAAAAGCACAATCTTTCAAGTGAACAAATGAAGGGACCAAAACAACAGTCATGGGAGTGCAGTCACAATTCATTCGAGCCAGTGATAGGTTGAACATGACAGAGCAAAAGCATCTTTGATTAGCTTTAGTGTACCATAATCTAAGGCAGGTTATCAATTTTGGCAGAAATGGAGATACTAAGCAGTAATTCTTGAACGACCCTTGGCTATTCTTCGAGCAATGACTTTCCGTCCACCCTTGGTTGCCTTGCTGCTCAGGTATAACAGTGAATCAATAACACAAGTCTATTCAACACATTTATTCAAAAGGAAATAAAATACAAATTCCTTTGAAAAGGCACCAAGCCAGGACAATGTAACCATTCCAATTTCCAATATAGCCCAATTAAAACTTAAAGCTGAATCAACATATGCATCCTCAGAAATAATATGTAAATTCACGCAATTAGAGGACTCAATGATGCCACTTTGGAGGTCCAATTTACTAGGGTCAAAAATTTGGTCAAAAGAGTAAAAGAGTTCAAAAGGTTACCAGTTATATAGCGATGTAATGCAATCTAAAAAAGACCGTTCAGATTGTCTAAAGTCAAGCTAAATTGCTCCCATGGGCACAGCACAAAAGGAAATATATTCTAAGATCGTGAATTCTCAAAGAAGAGGCAAGACAGGGAAAGAAATTTACCGAGCAAAGAATCCATGACTCCTCTTACGCTTGATGGTGCTAGGCTGGAATGTCCTTTTGGGGAATAAGAGCATTGGCTCGCTTGATGAATCCCCTGCAGACAGAAATTTTCCAGTCACAGAGAATCGAAAAAGGAAAAAAAGAAAAAAAGTCAATGACAGATTCCACTGCCAACCAATCCACAGCAAGATTAAAGCTCAAATGGTGGCAGAGAAATAGTTTGTAAAAGGCATATTTTTGCAGACACATGGGTAACAAAAACGTCTCTCAGCTAGCAGCAAGTGCAATTGTTTCATGCATAATGATAAGATTTTCTCTATTAATATTTCCGCAAAAAAATCAAAAACATGTTCACAAAATTGATAAAGAAAATCCAAAGCAGAAAGAACCACAATATCGGCAACAGAAAGGATTTCAAGGAACAGGTAAAAGGTCTCATTAAGAGAATTGAATCATAAAATATCATTCACATCGGCCATTATTGACAGTACATGACTAAAACCAATCCCGGTCTCTCACACTCTCAACGAGCACTTAGCTTTTCAAAACCATCATCATTTTCAACTACATATACGCAACCTGCAAGTTCACTTCACTCAAATTTCCCAAAGCACCATACCCATTAACGAACTGTACCAGCAATTACAAACTAAATTGCTTCTTCGATCAAACGAAAACAAAAGCCACAACTATAGTTCTTGCTCACCAAAATCTAACTTCAAATCAATGAAAAACACAACGCCTTATTCAAAATGCATAATAATTGAAAACAGAGCACCAATAAATAAATAAATACATAATAAACATACAAAACAATAGAGGGTGTGAAAGTGTACCTTCCGGCAAGAAGAATTCGAGAGAGGGGAGGCCAGAGGGGTGGACGAAAGCTTGGGAAGAGAGTTTCGAGAGAGAAAAGGCGTCGTTTTGAGGGGGTAGATGGAGGGAAGTCTGGATTTTGGAGAGAGATGGGAACACGTGGGGGTTGTGGGTGGTATTGGGTTGGTGAAGCAACAGCGATTTGGAGACCAAGCGGTTTAGCAGAGATGCTCCGGTTCGGATTAGGGTTTTGGTCGCCATGGATTCTGAGTTTGATTTCAGAGATGGTCTGTCGTCGTTTTGATAAACCCTATACTTAACGACTCCACCACTGACTCACTCTGACCCACAGAATGACGTGTCAGTCCACGTGGCATATACCACCTCATCTGCCACGTCATACATTTGCCACGTCAGTCCACCCAAAAAATTTAAAAAAAAATTCCACATTTCGCCCTATATTAGCCGCACCACCACATTTCGCCGCAGTCCAATCGCTTACCAATGCCACCACAACGACAACCACTACAATCCAATTTCAGCCGCACTCTGACGCCCGCACCACCACATTTTGCGGCCGTGCTATCCTTTACAAACGCCACCACAACGAGGTTGTTGGCAAGATAAAGGAGCCAACATCACAGCCTGCAAGGTATGGGTGTAACCGGTAGGCTAGGCAGGTTATTGTTTTGTTTCATATTTGTTTCAAATTGATTTTTTTTTTTTTTTTTTTTTTTTTTATCTGAGTTATTGAGTTGTTTATGCTTCCATCAGGATAAATTCCGTGAGAGGGAATGTGAATGCCCCCTGATTGATGGTGTGCAGTTCATGATGAGATGGCTACAGCCACTGTGAAGGTGAGATTGTTGTAAATGTAACTGGCATCAATTTCTAATTTTTTTTTTTTTTTTTCTTAATTGTTAATGTAGCTGGTATCAATTTCTAAGATTTACTTCATAAATCTTACTGAATATTAATACAGTTTTTACTTGTTAAATGCATAAATGTTCAGTTCATCTGGAGCTACATTTGGACCTCATTGAAGGTATTACTGAAATTGGTTGATTCTTAATATTATTAACTCCATTTTGGCATCTGGAAGAATTTGTAGAAATTCTTTTTTTGGGCTGCTTTATGCTATTTTGATGTCATTCTTTTGGAAACTTTATTTGCTTATAGAAATATTCTTTGTTTGAGTCTTTTTCTGCACTCTTAAGTTGACTGCATTATCTTACAATGAAGAGGTGGATATTTTGAATTGGATCCAAAAACCCAGGCCAAAAACTCGATCCTAGGACTAGTCCTTAAGAGGATTGATCCTAGGAGGTCTGATCCCAAAACGAGACCAGGCCTAAGGAGGAGGGCTTAGTCCCTCCACTGGGCCCTCCCGGTCCTAGGACCGAGCCCAAATTTTTTTACATATTTTTGTTTTAGTCTCTTATGCAATTACATAAAACCTCTTATAAACTTTGAAATAAACATAAATTATAGAGGTTAAAAGAAAATTTTACAAAATTGATTACAAAAAATAAATTTCAAGACCCTACAAAATTTATAAATTTTACTCTTGAAAAATATTAAGAACCCCTTACAAAATTTTATTTCGTCTCTAAAATATAAAATAATATCCGAGGAGAAAATAAATTTTCCAAGCCTAGAGAACTGGTCCTGGGCCCATAAAATCAGTCCAAGGGACCAGTCCGGGTCCTAGAATTACTCATGGGCCTGGATTCTGTCCCAGTCCCAAACGGACCAGTCCCAAACGGGCCAGGCCTAGGCCTACTTGGGATTAGTCCTTGACCAGCTTACATGTATACTTTGATGTTACAGCTTCTGTCAGTTGAGTTAAGGCCTATAATATTGGGAAATATTTTCGATGGCATTCAGGCTTGGAGCTAAACCTCTGTTATTTTCCTTTTAATAAGTCCAAGGATGGGCGTTCTGGAGAGAACTCGATGGGGTGAAGCAAGTTAATCAAGAACAGGCAGCTGAAGTTGAATCTAGAGAAAGCTGGCCTCGCTTAGTCGAATCTTTAAAGCTTTACTTATTACTGTAATGGCTTATAGATAAAAACTCATGCAGTGTGATTATATTGATCATAGAACTCTTTATCTTCAACTAGATTTTCTCACGCTTGTTAAAGGATGTTTACTACTATTTCAAGTGATGAAACGAGTTAATAATTTCCAAATTAAGTTCTAATGATAGTGTTTGAAGTAGCTGATCTGATTGACTGTATGGTTAATATTCATTAGCAATTTCAGTGAGTTTGTGACACTGATAAGGTTGAAGTGATGGTCGTCAACTGAGTGAGTTGGTGGTTTCTGTAAGTATTTCTAGGAGGAGAGGGAATTGCAAATAATTGAGCATTGAAAGGGAGCTGCCAGTTGTTATAAGGTTCAAGGGGACCATGGGATTTGACCTACATAATGGGCAGAAGCAATGTTTTAAAACCCAACGCTGGTGAAACCCAGCAAAGTGGCTGGATCCTGGGCTGACCGGCAGTTCAAACCAGTATCCAAATGTTTGAAATCTAACATTAATATCCCTAAAAATTACCTATAAGCTCCTATAAGTTTGAAATCTTGCAAAAAAGCCAAAAATATCAGTGTTGGTTTTGGCAAATAGGGTCTGTCTCCGACAACAACAACACTCCCTATCACCATGAAAACACTCACCTCAGCCTCTTAATCAAAACCCATCTCACTCCTCCCATGTTCACCTCCCCAATCGTCGACAACAAGAAGATTTTTTCGACAACATTGTTTTGCGATTTCTGATCAAATCACTCACCGAAAATCAACACCGTCGCCATGATTGCACTCACCGACAGTTTCTCTTCAAAAGCCCTAACATTTCAACCTTCAATTACTCATGGATTTATATTTTAATTTTTAGGGTTTTGAATTAATAGAAAAATTTGTAACCCGAGGCTCCAAGTCTCGGTTGAACAGATTAAACCAGCGGGCTGAGCCAAGATTTAAAACACAGGGCAGTTGGTATACAATTGTTTGAGCAGAAGCGACTGACGTGTGCGCAAATGCTAGAGTTTATTCATGGATTATAACACGGCAAATTGGATGGTGAATACACATAATTTTATTGGTTGGAGCTGCATAAATTAAATCTCTTGCAAATTATGCTCTTCCCATAAAAACTATACTAACAAAATAAATATTTCTAACTTCCCATCTCAATGGTAGACTCTAATTACCATTAAAAAAGTCCTGCCTGGCTATATCCAATTCGTAGCATAGGCGGTGCAGGAGAAACACTCTTTTTTAAGTAGATATCATCATAATATATAAACTTATAAATATGTAGATATCGAATTACACAGGAAGAAAAAAATCCCAACAATGAGAGCTAAAAACCAAAATAATAAAGAGAAATTAAAAGTATTTTAATAAACAACAAGCATTATTAAAAAGAGCTTTCTAACTCTTCTATATTCGTATAAAATTTCTACTCAAAGTTTACTGGCAAACCAGCTCCAAATATCATGATCAGCAAACCAAGCCAGAAAACCAGCAAGCAACAGTGTACAAAGTGGCTGGAAATCCCGGCAAGCAACAGTGTACAGTGTACAAACCAGCAAGCAACAGCTTTAAAACTTGATCACCCATTATATGGAGGGTTTTAGCTCCATAATAGTCTCACATCAGATCTTCAGGTTTGCACTAAATCCTGCTTCTACAAGCGACCAGATTGGTTGAGGTGGTGTAATGAAGTCTTGCATCCAACTTTAAGTAATCACCTTAATGGTTCAGCACCCTTAATGATAGGCCTCTGTCCTGTCCTTGAATATTATCTTGAGTAAGCTCTCCATGCTCATTACTAAATGCCTTTCTGATCTTTACACTGTGGACCTTGATTCACTGGATAAAGCTACCTCTTTCAATGACTACCCAGAAAGTATCCGGGGTAGGACTGAAGTTGATGCAATGGCTTGCTTTGTCTAATTCTGACCAGGATTTTGTTTTGATTAACCCCTAGACGAGAAAGTTGTTTAAGTTACAGATTGAGTTTATCACGCTTTCATGTCTCTCTTAGCCTCCTTTCTTTCATTTCTTTCTTCTACACTCTTCTTTCATTCACTTTCCTCTCTCTTTTTCCCCAACAAATCAAAACCCTAATCTCCAAAAAGATTTCCAGGCTACACCGTGATGTTTTTACCCACATTTTCTATCGCATACCAGTTAAACCTCTTCTACGTTTACGAGCACTTTCTAAACCTAGACATGAAGGTGAAACCTAGACATCTTTTTGGAAATTGCCCGGAAACGTAGAAGAGGTTTAACGGGTATGCGATAAAAAAATGTGGGTAAAAACATCAAGATGAAACATGGACATCTTTTTGGAGATTAGGTTTTGATTTCCTTGGGAAAAAGAGAGAGGAAAGTGAATGAAAGGAGTGTAGAAGAGAGAAATGAAAGAAAAGGAGGCTAAAGAGACATGAAAGCGTGATAAGGTTAAGTTTTGTATAAAGGTTCTAGGATCGAATGAAAAAAGAGAAGTAGAAAGTTACAAAACTTTCTAGAGAAACAAACAGAAACTGCAGAAAAAATATCTAAGGAAACAAAACAAAAACTTTGAGAGAAACTTCGGTTACTTCCAGAACTGATTTCGTTTATTAATTTTCCAACTTAGCTTACAAAATGATTCTTGAAAAGTTCTTATGCAAGTAAGAGTCCACGCTGGCAATCCGTGTGACTCTTAAATTTTGCAGAGAAACATAAAATGGTAGCTTCTCAACCGTTCATCAATTTTCCAGATTTTATAAAACTTAAGTGAAGTACTGTAGCTTTAAGTGAAGTACTGTAGCTTTTGCAACTCATGTAACTTATATTAACCATAGTCTCTGCCCAGCTCAAGTAACTCTGCCCTCAATTGGCCATAGTCTCAACAAAGGGGAACTGAGTCATTGAAATGAATATGATATGAGAATAAGGTGGTGTAGCGCTTGAGAAGGCATCCTCCATGAAAAAATATCAAAAGATTGAGTGACTCAGAATTGAACAAGTAGAGATAAGATTGGTGGTACGAAATGATTTTGCATTTACTATGGCATTAGATTGGTGGTACGAAATGATTTTGCATTTACTATGGCATTGGCACTGCAGTCCAAAAATGATTTTGCATTGGCACTGCAGTCTGAAAACCATTTTGCAGCCAATGTGTATGTGTTTAAGAGAAGAAGAGAGAGGACCCCTCGTCCCCACCAATGTGTTTAATTGTAAAATTAAACTATCAGGTCATTAAAATGAAGAAGCACAGAGAGTTCAGTTG